TTTCCTTTCCTTTCCTTTCCTTTCCTTTCCTTTCCTTTCCTTTCCTTCAAAAACCTTGAAGAATCTATTCCTAGCGTTAGTTTAGGGCCATGAGACCTAACCCTAACCCTAGCCCTAAATTCATTTTAATTCAAATGGGATTTTCCCATGTGTTTTACTGTGGTCCACAAACAATGCACAATGAAAAACTGTCAACTTTCCTTTCCTTCAAAAATCTTGAAGAATCTATCCCTAGTGTTACTTTTGAGCCATGACACCAAGTAGACCTAACCCTAACCCTAAATTCACTTTAATTCAAAGGGGATTTTCCCATATATTCTACTGTGGTCCACAAACAACTCACAACAAAAAGCTGCCCACTTTCCTGTCCTTCAAAAACTTCGAGAAACTATTCCTAGCATTACTTCTTGGGCTTGACACCAAGTAGACCTAACTCTAACCCTAACTATAGCCCTAAGCATGAATTCATTCTAATTCAAATGGGATTTTCCCATGTATTTTACTGTGCTCCTCAAACAAATCGTAAGGAAAATCTTTCCACTTTCCTTTCCTTCAAAAACTTTGAAGAACCTATTCCTAGCATTAGTTTTTGGGCATGACACCAAATAGACCTAACCCTAACCCTAGCCCTCACCCTAAATTCACTTTAATTCAACTGGGATTTTTCCACGTATTTTACTGTCACCCACAAATAAATCCGAATGAAAAGCTGTCAACTTTACTTTCCTTCAAAAACTTTGAAGAACCAATCCTAGCATTAGTTTTTGGGCATGACACCAAATAGACCTAACCCTAACCCTAGCCCTGACCCTAAATTCACTTTAATTCAACTGGGATTTTTCCATGTATTTTACTGTCACCCACAAACTAATCTGAATGAAAAGCTGTCAACTTTTCTTTCCTTCAAAAACCTCGAAGAATCTATTCCTAATATTAGTTTTGGGCCATGACACCATGTTGACGTAACCGTAGCCCTAACTCTAAATTCATTTTAATTCAAATGGGATTTTTCCATGTATTTATTGAGGTCCATAAACAACTCATAACAAATGTATTTAGGGTTAGGGTTAGGTCTAACTGGTGTCATGCCACAAAACTAACGCTTGGCATAGATTGCTCAAGGATTTTGAAGAAAAGGAAAATTGACAGCTCTTTGTTCAGATTTGTTTGTGGACCACAGTAAAATACATGGGAAAATCCCACTTGAATTAAAATGAATTTAGGGTAGGGTTAGGTTTAGGTTTACTTGGTGTCAGGGCCCAAAATTAATGCTGGAAATAGATTCCTCGAGATTTTTGAAGGTAAGAAAGTTGACAGCTTTTCGTTCTGCGTTTTCTGTGGACCACAGTAAAATGCATGGGAAAATCCCACTTGAATTAAAATGAATTTAGGGTTAGGGCTGCGGTTACGTCAACATGGTGTCATGGCCCAAAACTAATTTACTTGGTGTCCTGATCCAAAACTAATGCTAGGAATATATTTATTGAGGTTTTTGAAGTAAAGCAAAGTTGATAGCTTTTCATTTGGATTTGTTTGTGGACCACAGTAAAATGCATGAGAAAATCCCACGGCCAATGAAAATCAATCTAGCTGTTATGCTTAGGTCTATGGTTAGTTATGGTTGGAAGCTAATGCTAGGAACAGATTCCTAGTGGTTTTAGAATGAAAGCAAAATTGACAACCCTACATTTGGAGTCGTTTGTGGACCGCTGTAAAATATACGGGAAAATCCCATTGCCAAGAAACTGAAACTTAGATCTTCTTGGCGTCCTGGCCAAACATTAATGCTTATCTTTGGAGGTTTTCCTAAGGAAAGCAACTTTGACAGCTTCTCTTTCCGAGGTTTTTTTTGGGGGGGGGGGGGGGGGTGGGACACTCCAAGAAAATACATGGGGAAATCCAATCTTTAGTTAAACTGTATTTAGGATTAGGGTTAAGGTTATGTCTACCTTGCCCTCTTTCGGGAAGGTGAACCACTCTCTCCCACCCTGCCTCTCCTCGCAGCGCCAGGCAAACGATGGCTATCAGGAGCGCCAGCAAGGCAACCAGCGCAAGGCAACAGAGCACCGAACAGGTCCTGCTCGGCCACTTACTCCCCGCGGCTTCGGGACCCTGCCAAAAAAAATAAAAAATCAATTTCAATTCAAAGCCCTCCGTTAAACCCCGCCCGACATCTCAACCAGCCCCCCCTTCACCTCTTCCGTAACTAACCGCAACAACTGCATGGCGTGTCTCCATGGCAGTGGAATATTCACTTGTTAGAGGGCAGAAAGGATGGCAGAGGAAACCCTTAAAAAGAGCCCTTGAATAAGTTCCCCCCTCCCCCAGGAAGAAACCTATCGCCGCGACAGCAGCAGCGGCAGCAATGAAGACCCGCTTGGATTCCCGAACGCCGCCGCTCGCCTAGCCACGCCCACCGTCCGAGCTCGGAACTCCCAGGTTGCCCTGTTCCATTTAGGGAAACTCTGCGTACGCGCGTGGCTCGGGCTCTACCTTCCCTTCGTCGCCACGTTCCTTTATTTTTTTTTTCCCGCCTTGTTTTACGCCCAGAACTGGTACCTCTTGGCTTCCGTAGCTCCGCCCATTAACCTCCGTCGCTCGTAGCGAGTTGCTTTCCCAGCGTCCTCCGCGGTGCGCGCGTCTCCTCTCTCTCTCTTTCCCCCTCTTTCCCCCTCCTCGCCTCCATTCCGGCTCCCCTCCCCCACGCACAGACACACACTCCGATCTTGGCCACTCGGCCGCCTTCGGGGAGAGGAGAAGCAGAAGCCCCTCCCCTACCGGCGTGAGGTTTTGTTCTTTCCTCCTCTGGCCGCGTGCGCGGTGATCCCACCTCGCAGACTTCCGACCAGTAACCCCTCCTCCCCCCCCCCCCCTCCCCTCACCCGCGTCCCTGGTCCGGTCTCTCTTCCCTTCTTCTCTGTTCGGTTTCCGGCTAACGGTCTCCCCCCTCGGATCCCGGCGGAACTAAGCAGAGCTGGCTCGACGGAGCCAGGCCTGCGCCGGGGGAAAGCGATGTCAGGTGGAGACTCGGCGGCCGCCGCGGCCTCTCCTCAGCCGTTGCCCTTCTCGCTGCCCAAGCCTCCTCCCCTGATGCAGCTCAACCCCGGCGAAGGCGTGCGCCCTGTGGGAGCCCCCGGACCGGAACAGTCGCCGAAAAGCGCTCGCATGGGAGGCCGGCCGGACTGGCCTGCCGGGAAGCCCGTCAGTCTTCTAGCACCTCTTCTTCCGCCGCGCGGGGAACCCGAACCGCTCCTTCCCTTCGGGCCGGCCTCTCGCCAGCCTCTCCGCGGGAGACTCCTCGGCAGGGGCGGCGGCGGCGGCGGCGGGAACAGTGCGGGCAGCGGGAGCCTCCTCAACCCTGCGATGAGGCTGGGCGCCGGCGGGGGAGGAACCGGCGGCGGTGGCGGCGGCGGCGGCATGGGCCGAGAGTCTGTTATGGTAGGTGGACAGGCGATTTTTTTGGGGGGGTGAGGGAAAGGTGGGGGTGGGAAGCGAAAGTTAAGTTTTACGCTTTTGCTTCGGTCCCAAATTTCATAACCGTGAAGTTTTCTTTAAAAAAAAAAAAAAACCTCCCTCTTGGCCTCATTTGAAGATGAGGGAGTCTAGGTATCCCGACTGAATTAGTCTTGACTCTTGTTGGCGCCTCTCTGCCTTGCCTGCAGTTTTCCCTCAGAGGGTATATAGGTGCACGTATTTGAACGGTAACGGACCGCTGGCGGTCTTTGGGCACCGGTTTTTAGACCGTTTGGCATCCAGCCGGAATGGGAGATTTAACCAATGCCTGAATGCTGGATGAAGGTTGAACTTGTGGCTCGATATCTGTGGAGATTCTCGGACATCCAGGTCGTGGTTGTCCCAGAGGTGCTTTTTTTTTTTTTTTTTTCCCCTCAAGACTTCCTGGTTTTCCTTTGAAGACGTTTTTTGCTTCTCGTCCAAGAAGCTTCTTCAGCTCTGAGGTGAAGGAGCTTCTTGGATGACAAGCGAAAGGTGCAAAAGCACCTTGATAAATCAGTCATTCAAATTGGCTTTCTTTTCCCTGCATATCTAGAAAGGAATACCGGAAAGGCCTGATATCTATGGAGTTCATATTTTTCATATGTTAAGTTCATATTTTTCCACCATTCCAGAGAATGGCGAGACTTAATCTTTGCAGCAGTGCATACGGTAGGGAATCAACAGGAATAGGAATATTATATTATCGTCTCCCAATCAGCATTGTTGATTGTGTGCTGTCACATTGGTTTCAACTTCTAGCAACCACATCCATGCCTTGATTGTCTATTCCTAACTTGGTGTTTTCAGGTCTTCTTAGTGCTAGTGTTCCTGAGTCCATCCACCTTGTTGCTGGTCATCTTTTTCTCTTTCCTTCTAACTTTCCCAGCACTAGATCCTTTTCCAGAGAGATAAGTCTTCAGATTTGTTAGCTTTATAGTAATTGCATTATAAAGAGGATTTAACAAATTGAAATTATTTGGCATGATTATTTGGAACACCAAGCCAGAATTCTGAAGGACTACAGTTTAGGATGAATTTATTTATATTTTATTTATAAATATTTGTTTATTTTATTCATTTATTAATCGAGCAATCAATTGACTTTCATTTTCCTCTTTCACTGTTCACCTGCAACTCCTGATTTTTCCTCTGCATTGTAAAGCACCCAAAAAAAAAAAATCCTGTAGTTTTTAATACTGCCTTAAAAGGGGACAGTAAGCCAAGAACCTTGATTTGAATCATAAAACAAATGAATCCATTTTATTTAGTGCTTTAGTTACAGGAGGAAAAGTATGAGGTTTCAGTGGCAAGTCAACATTCATTATTGTTGTTCCATGTGAATGTTACCAATATATGTGAAGCATTTGCACAGTTGTAACTTCATGTTTCATAAGTTGCCAAGTCTTATCACTATTTTCAAACAAAGTAGGTCAATGACAATATTATTTGCAGGAATACTTAATAAAGTTTTATCATTAGTGCTTAATTCCTAAGAAAAATTATACTACTTATACTCAAATCTGCCTAATATACATGTTATTTTCTCTTTGAAGACTTGCTGTCCAAGTCTTTCCTGTTTGAAGATTTGCTACCCAAATTATTTCTTGAAAGAATTAAGAATGTAATGAAGGTATTCAGAGCAGATTATGAATATGTTTTATTCCTTTTACAATCTAAAGATAGTTGAAAAAAATCAAGCCATTATTCTATCCCCCTCCCAAAATGTCATTAAAATTTTAAAATAGCAAAATAACATCTGCTTAACAAAAGTATTTCAATTTGATTGCAGAACCTTAAAGATGAGTGACTTGAAATACATAGTTTCCTGTATGTGGCACTTGAAAAAACTGACTTGCAGATTACCCTAATAATGATTTGAGAAAATAATACAAGCAAAAGATGTTTTAGAAGATCTTTAGTCAGAGTTATGCACAAAGAGATAGCCAAATGCAATTGGTTAGGGTCTAAAAGTCATAAATCACTAACAAGCTAATGGCTAGGGTACCCGATAGAATTTATTTTTAGTAAAACTCATGTCTGCCTCAGTATTTGCACTGAACAGTCTATGTTAGCTGATGAATTCATATGTTTTTTATCAGTACAACTAAAACTTAAGAAACATACAAGCAGTTTTCATTTTTCCCCATACTTTAACATTTACTTTTTTAATATATTTAAACCTATAAATTTAAATTAATTAAAGGTCTAATTGCTTTAGATCTGACAGTGCAAATCTGGATGGCCATAAATAACTGGGTGTTTTATTTAAATTGTTTAGAGCTACCCAATTCAGTGGACTCTGTTGGAGGCAATGAACTGCTGTATGCATATTTCAACTACCATTTTATGAGAAAACAATCAGATTTTACAACTCAGATTTTCAGAAGAATGTTTTCTGACATTCTCATCTGGCAGAAAATATATTTGAGACTGGATCATTTGAAATCTGATGTACAATGTTTCAATCACAGAATGTCTTGTTCAAACACAGAGCAGTAGTGTTTGAATGCAAAATAAACTGTGGTAACATTTTGAAGCATTTCAAAATCAAAATAGATTGAAACGTTTTGTGCATCCCTAATACTATACTTTTTTTCTTGGAGACTTGTCATATGACAAATACAAATAATAATTGCAATAATAAAGTAGCAAGTTTTTAAACTATCATGAGTTGTAATGTCCATAAAGGGAAAAAGATAAAACTTTTATATATTGACAATATTGGTGATATTGTAACAGTTTAAAATATCTTGCTCTTTTGAGAGTCCTGATTAACCAGATTTGGAAGATAGCTTGTTTCTGTTTCACTTGTTTTCCTAAAATCCTCAACTGTGTTTTTCAGATGGGACATCCAGGCATGCCTCACTATCCACCCATGGGAATGCATCCTATGGGCCAAAGGCCGCCCAACATGCCTCCAGTATCTCATGGGATGATGCCTCAAATGATGCCTCCAATGGGAGGACCACAAATGGGACAGGTAAATGAGCTTCTGTGATTTTGTTTTATATATAATAATTTAAAATGGAACAGTACTGTAATTTCTATCTTTTAAACACTTTCCATAGGTCATTAGGAATTGGCACTGATTCATATCAGTACAATCTTCTTAATCTCTTTTTCTCATTATTCCTGACTTAAATGATTTCAGAAGATTTTTTTTTCCTTAAACAGATCAGTTACTTTTCTGCATAATATTTGGGATAGGAAAGTATGTTGGCCTTACATTCCTTACTATTAGGTTGAATCCTTCTCCACAATATATTTCTCCTGTATGTCAATAAGTAGTTTAGCCTTTTCAGATCTGGGCTTTTATTTTCCCTTTTCGTAGTGTCCTTAGCTCTTTGTGTTCAGTGTGATATAGCAGAATTTTAAAAAATACCCTTTGCTTACCACTCTAGATAGTAATCCCAGTACTATACTGTCCATACTTACACTAATTCAAACCTTGAATTTTAAAGTCACTCTTAGTACTAGTCCTGCACTAATATAAAAAGATTTCATCTTTTTTTATGAATAAAGGCCATTCTGTCCTCATATAGCATTAAAGATCGTGTAAGTCCTTTGCATTCTGGACAGTATCCTAATTTGTTAGGTGCACGTAGTTTAAACAAGGTTGAATGATGAATAGGAAACATGAAAGTAATTTGAGCAGTTCAGCTACTTACCTTATTACTCATTAATTGCAAAGCCCCTAATTATCAGCCTATTTAACATAGCTGATCGAATTCCCTAGGCTATTGCTTTGTATTAAATTGTTGTTCTGCTCACATTACTGTTGTCTGGCATATTTTACTACTTGGCCATCAGGAAGAATTCATAGAACGCAAATGGGCGATTTTCTTGCACATATTACTAGAAATGAATCCCAAGAAATCTAAGGCAGGCTGTATATGTGTTTGCCACAAAATATGGAGAATTACATCTTTGATATGAGGCTATTGTCCCATTCATTTAAGCAACCTAAGTACTTTCTTCAAGAAATATTATTTTTCTATTTAAGGAAAAAAACTAACAAATCTTTAGAAGCTCTTTTTTATCGCTTTTGGGCGCTACTGTATTCCACTTATCCAGTTTATTTTATCATATTTCACAGTTTATTCTTATTTAAACAATGTTTTTTCCTATTGATATTGGTATTTCCTTTCTCCAGGCACTGATTTATGCATATCTTGAGTTGTGCATCAAGTGATATGTCATAAAATTAAGGATGTCTCCAAGTACTTAAAACAGGATTACCATTCAAAGACAATGGGTTATAAATCCATGTGTTAAGAGCCACCACATAGTTGATAAACCCTGGAGCTTTGTGGCTTTCCTAAAACCTGGATTTGTCAAGCGTAAATGTTTTCTTTTATGGGGCTAGAATATAATTGGTGGCCTGTATTCTGAAAGTGTTTCTAAAACTATTTGGATGGAGATATTTAGGGAGCAACTCTTGGTTGGAACACACTTATTTGGAAGCAGCAGTGGGGCAAGACTCCTTTCTTCTCCTGCTTCTACAGGATGGTGGGGAATGGGAGGGCCACTCCCATTCTTTCTTCTCTTCCTCACGCTTCCAAGAAAACCTTGTGGATTGAGGGTGGAGCAGTAGCCCTACCAAATACCTCTCCCTCCACACAAGATGGAAGGTAAGAGGGAGCAATAACCTGATGCTCCCTGAAGATACATGGGAATGGGGTTATTTGGCCAACCCTTCAGGGATTGTCATTACATATTTGGGGGTTGATTTCCCTAGCACTATTTGTGGGAACTGCCAACAAAATTGGCTGAATACGGCCAATTAATTATTTGTCACCATTCTCTAAGTCCCCAATGAGGACTGATGAAAATTTCAAAAAACTTCTGCCTTTCTTTCAGAATATTTTTTCTGGTTAACAGCCATGTGCATACACACGGAAATTAGTTCTATATGATAAATGCCCAAGCTGGCTTGTATTAGACCCTTGTGTGTATTGTCTTGCAGCATCATTGTCATAGTAAGAATTATCCCTCGCTATATTTACACTGATTTAAGGAAAAAGGAAAATGATATGGTTTTAATTGGTTACGGTAGTTTGCATCCTTGTTGCATGCCTTTCTCCGCTTTTTAACAGTTCATGTTTTTGAACCCTGCAGTCATAATTCTTAAACTTTATAGTTCTCTTCATCTTGGAACATCTTTGCAGCATAACTCTTACTCCAGCCCTGTGAGACAAGTTCTTCAGGTATTATCCTCTGTTCATAGATGAGGTAAATGAGCCCTCAAGACTAATAGAGTTTACATAGGTCACAGGGAATTGGTTTGGGAATTAGAGGTTTTAAATGGATTGGGCCCCATTCCTTCAATGACTTGTAAGTAGTCTAACGTTTGGGTTTTTTAAAAATAAGACACAAGCATATGGGCCCATATTCTTGTTTATCTTTCTGCTATCCCTCCATACCAGTCTGCTTCTTTCTTCATGTTTTGTCGTGGGTTCCCTTTTGAAAGACAATCAAGAGTAGATGAACAATAGTGTCCGTATTTGTTGGCCCTCAGCAATTAATATCTTGCCTACTTTAAAGCTTCTGATCATTTAGAGTTTTAATACTATTTATTTGGAACATCATCAGACAATTGCTGGATTCCTTTGTTAAACTTATATACCCTTTTATAACTCTATTGTTATGCCCCAATTTACCTGTTTGGGAACAGGGTTAAACTATATCCTCCCATCAACAAAAAATAGTTACAGATGTAGTGTGTCTAGTTTTAAACATATACAATAATCATACTTTGATTGTAGATGCCTGGAATGATGCAGTCAGTGATGCCTGGAATGATGGCACCCCATATGTCTCATGGCCCCATGCAGCCAACAGGACCGGTAAATATTCTGTTTATAATTTTAAAAGTATTTGCTCTCAGCTGTACTGATTTCTGTATCCTTTTCCTGTACCTTTTCCCCAATATACAATTCAGTATCTTTTTTATATTAGAACAGTTCCTGAACTTGAGCCACTTTATTTCAAATTATTTCAAATTTATATAATAAAAAATGCTAATAGTTCAGAATTTTTTATTAAAGTCAGAATATGATTATTTCATGTTTCATTATAAGGTAGCCTGAGGTGTTTAATAGACTGCATAATTATAAAATTTGTAAATATTTGAATTTAATTGTTTTATCTTTTTGTCAAGAAATGAAAATGCAAACTAATAATTTCATTTTCCTCATCACCTCATGTTCTAGAGATGCTATAGAGAAAAACTTTATTAACTCATAGGGTATGAATAACTTAATTTTGGATGAGATAGACTAACATTCCTAGTTTAAATCTGGAAGGAGTTGAAGAAAAGAACAGGTAGTCCTCGACCTATGACCACAATTGAGCTGAAAAATTCTTTTGCTAAGTGAGACATTTGTTAAGTGAGTTTTGCCCCATTTCTTGCCACGGCTGTTAAGTGAATCACTGCAGTTGTTAAGTTAATGTAATGGTTGTTAAGTAATCTGACTTCTCCATTGACTTTGCTTGTCAAAAGGTTGCAAAAAGTGATCACGTGACCCTGGGACACTGCAACTGTCATAAATATGAATTAGATGCCAAGTGTCTGAATTTTGATCACGTGGCCATGGGGATGCTATATTGGTCATAAGTGTGAAAATGGTCATAAATCACTTTTGCAATGTTATAACTTTGGTCACTAAACAAACTGTTGTAAGTCGAGGACTACTTGTATCTAGATTGCGAATAGGAGGTAGGGAACAGCATTCCCTTTGTCATTTAAATTCTATGTCCAAACCTCTACTTTATAGGTACACGTGAAAAATGCATATTTGATTACTCTGTTTTACTAGAATGACTAGTTTAGCTTTAATAGTTATGCAAAATTAACTTGTCTCAATTCCTGATGATTTCATAGTAGATCCAGATTTCCCTGATAGTCTCTTATTGAAGTATTAACCAATGCAAACTCTCTTAACTTGAGAAGGTCAACTCTGTTACAATCTCAAAACCAAATTGATGCCAAATTCATGATGTGAACAGAGGCTGAAATTGGGCATGGACTGTGTATGGCAAATAAGTGAAAAAGAATTATAGATATTATTTGTAAAATAGACTTCCTGATTATTCTTCATTTTAGTCTCTTTTCTTTGACTTAATCAGTGTTTTAGATTGTTACTCTATGTTGTCTGATAGCTCACACAACATTTCTGTTGCAAGATGCTTCTCTTCAGCTTTCTTTCTCTCATTGAATCTTTTAGGTTTCAGGGGTTTATTTTACCTTTTTTTCTCTATATTGTCTCTTTACATTGTGTTATATTTTTGCTGTGTGCCTGAATATCATTAATAATCTTGATTCACATGGCTAAATAAATAGACTACAGTATATTAATTTCTGCACTTGCTAGTGAGAAAAGAAAATTCCCTCTTACAGACAGTAAAAAAATAGTGAACCAGTGAAGATGAATCAAAGCGTTTCCTATAGAATCTTTTTTTTATTTGTCTAGTTTCCACCAGCTTATCCAAATTAAATATCCTAGAAAAGAATCAAAACTGAATTACTTATATTTTCTCCCTATAAGCTTCCTCAATTGCTTTTCATTTTTATTGGCAGTAGCCTATGATTTTTTTTAGACATGCAAGCATTTATTTTCTTTCTTTTGGTCTCCATTTTCAGTTAATTATGAAATGCTAATTCTCCACAAAAAGCATTACAAAAATCTATGCATTCTTTTTTGTTCTGTACAGTAAAATGTACATTATCCTGTAATCTGGTTTTTTAAAATAATTTTCTGATCTCTTTCATCTTTAATATCTTAACTGTCTTTTTCAAAAATTGAATTTTTACCTGAGAGATCTCTTGGAAGAAAGGCAGCATATATATCAAAATAATATCTCTTATCACCAGGGGTGGGATTCAACCGGTGTTACTACCGGTTCGGTGACTGTGTGCGTGTGTAAAAATCCTTAAGCTGTGCCGCCCGGACAGCTGAAAAGTGCTGCGCGCAAGTGCGCAGCATTTGAAAAGGCACTTTTTTCCTGCTTTTTCAACCTCAGCTGTGTCGCGCAAAGCGGCTGAGGTTGAAAAAGCAGGAAATAAAGGACAGGTAAGTGGGCGGGTGGGCCAAACAGCAGCAAACACAGAACTGGTTCGGTGTTTGCTGCTCTTCAGAGCTACCGGTTCTCTGGAGCCGGGCAGAACCAGTAGCATCCCACCCCGGATTATCACTAAGACTCTCCCTTGCCATCTCCATTTCTAGTGGCTTTGCAAGTTCTTCATATTAGCTTTGTGGGAGTGGCTTTGTCATTACTCTTGTTCTGAAACAACTGCATTAGTTTTTGGTCAAAAATTGAAAGCACTACCTCTAAATTTTATAAACTTTGGAAAGTCTTCTGAGTTTATTAAGATGGAAATATAATACATTGTTTTCTATGTGGTGGTACTCCTTGGTACTAATTCAGCAAGCTGACTAAAACTGCCTATATAAATGACATTTGAGGATGCTTAATCTTTCCTCTTCCCAGTAATAGATGATTGAGAGAAATAGATAATTGCTAAGAGAAAATAGTAATGTATTATATTTACAGTATATGCTGCCCAACTCCTATCAACTGGGTGGAATACAAGTTGTCGGAAACTTTAAAATAAGAAGGGGAGGGGAAGAGATTTTTTTAAAAAGGGTAAACTTGACAGGATGACAAAAACAGATGAGAACAAAGGAAAACAACCCATGGAGTTTGAAGAAAGTTTCGGTCGCCCTTGTCAAGTCTTCAAGACCCTTCAAATACCAACAACTGGAGACTGTCTGGATCTTAAGGGAACCTCATTCTAGATGGCAGGTGCTGCTTTAAAGAAGGTGCACTTACAGTGCCCTGATAAATGGCATTGCTTAGTCAAGGGAACCTGACATGTGCCAATCCTGCCAGATCAAATTGGCTGGGTAGATAATATGGAGATAGGCAGTCCCTCAAGCAACTAAGTCTCATATCACATCTTGAATCAAATAATGCATCAATGGAATCAGTGGAAACTTTCAGGTGGTCTTCAAGGCTCCCCATTATAGAGCGCATTACAGTAGTTAAGCCATGAGGTGATCAGGACATGAATGAATAAACATTCCAGACTTTCATCCTTTTCTATTATGTAACTATTTTTAATCTTGCATGATTGTACACAAAACACATTCCTAAGATCCAAATATGAGGAACCTGCATGAAATGGTAGTGACTGTTTATTTCCCCAAAATACGGTAAATAATACTTAACATGTATTTTTTAAAAATAGTGTCCTTTGAGCTAAGCTTCAGAGCCGGTGACCATAGACTATATCAGTGTAGGTTTTTTCCACAATACAGATAGTCCTCGCTTAAAGACCACTCATTTAGCAAACTTTTGAAGTTAATAGTGGTGCTGGAAAAACTGGCTTACAACCAGTCCTCACACTTAAGAACTGTCAAAGTGCCCCACAGTCATGTGATCATAATTTGAGATCCTGGAAATTGGTGCACATTTATAATGATCACAGTCTCCTGCAGATTGCCATATACAACCATCCTCAACCAGCTTCTGTAAAGCAAAAGTCAAAGGAGAACTGGAAATGAGTTGCAAATAACAGAAAAGTTTGTAAAATTGCGTTCAGTTGCACTATGCCTTACTTAATAATGATACCACTCAACAACAAAATTTTTGGCCCCTATTGGTTGTATGTTGAGGTCTGTCCATAGTTTGCTTGTTTTCTTCCTAACCAGTATTGTCTGGTTTTGAAAAGCTAAGCAAGTTTGGATCTGGTCAGTACTTGGTCAGGAAATGACCGGAAAATACAAGCACAAAAGACTGGAGTTGAAAGTTTAAAAAAAAAAAACTGGCAAAGATAAACCACTTCCATGTTATTACCAAAAAAGATTATATAAACAAGTCTGTATTGTCATTCAAAATAGCTTTTATCTGCGGCATGAAATAGGTATATATATATTAATATGTATATATATATTTGTTTGTTTTTTACAGCCAGGAGTGAATAGCATGGATTCACAAATCGGTATGTATGAATAATTAGTTATTTGTTAAGTAATTTAAGCTGCTACAAGAAATATTATTTTTAATTAAAAATAAATTTTGCCATTAATTTAATTATCAAGGAAATTTTGAAAATGCCTGTTTTTATAGTGGAACAAATTAACTTTATGGTCTTTAGAAATAATATTTTTGGATTAAAAGTTCAGCTAGAAAAATACATCCTTACAAGAGAAAATGCTAACAATTGTTAGGGGAAAGAATTCTAACAACAGAGTGGTCAGGATTGTGTCAGCCCACCAGTTATATTTCTATTTATTTTTTCATTCATCACATTTCTATACTATCCATCTCACCTAAGTGACTAGGTGGTTATGTTAAAAGCACGTCACAAAATATCAAAGCATAAGTAAGAATTTATTTGTACCCTCTCTGGCTTATGTGGAGCCTCTTGCACAACCCTTTTCACCTTCCACAGCCAGCACCTCAAATGTACCTCCTTGCATCTTTGCCATCCTGCATACCTGACCCAAATAGTACCTTTTGCACACCCCTTCATACTTTCCTTGACCCTCTTGCATGCCCGGACCATCCTCTTATGCACCCTCTTGCTCCTTCCCCCACCATGCAGCAACCACTTATCTTTTGGGTTTGTTTGTGGAGCACAGTAAAATACATGGGAAAATCCCTTTGAATTAAAATAAATTAAGGGTTAGGGCTAGGGTTAGGGTTATGTCTACTTGGTGTCATGGCTGAAAAGTAACACTAGGACTAGATTCTTCAAGGTTTTTGAAGGAAAGGAAAGTTGACAGCTTTTCATTCAGATTTGTTTGTGGACCACAGTAAAATACATGGGAAATCCCATTGAATTAAAATAAATTTAGGGTTAGGTCTACTTGGTGTCATGGCTGAAAAGTAACACTAGGAATAAATTCTTCAAGGTTTTTGAAGGAAAGGAAAGTTGACAGCTTTTCATTCAGGTTTATTTGTGGAGCATAGTGAACTTTAATTTTTGCTAAACAATAAAAATATATTTGTAGAGCACAGTGGGTTAATTCATGCAACATGCAAAAGTGAATCTAACCAACGCAGCTAACTTTGTACGATACATGAATGTAATAGCCGCTCTGGAAGAGAAGTACTGGAATATTGGCATGAATGATGCTTTCTAGGAAATTAGGTAGTTAAAATGTGATCTGGCTGATTGCATGTAACACATAACTAATTTCTGAACACCTATGAACGCCTTTTTATTTTTTATTATTTCTGCCTTTCATTTTAAGTATAAGCCAGGAGTCCCCAACCACCGGGCCGCGGACCGGTACCGGTCCGTGGATCACTTTGCACCAGGCCGCAAAGAAAATAAAAATAAAAAATAAAATAAAAATGGCGGCTTTCTTCGCCTTCGGTGAATGCTGCTGGGATCAGGGATCAAGGACACAAATGAAAGAAGGGGAGGGAGGAAGCAACCAAAGCCTGTCCTACTCTCTGGCTCAGTGGCTTCGGTTTCCTCCCACCTCGTTCCTCTCTCAGTCGCTCTCTCGCTCCTCCACCAGCCCAGGAAGAAACTGCTTCAAAGAAGGCGGCAGGGTGGCTTTTCCTGTCGGCGCAGCTCCCCCGAAGCGCCCGTTCACCCCCACCCCGCCGCCAATCAATCTAGGTTCAATCCAGTGCTCCGTTCTGCCTGCCTGCCTGCCTTCGTTTCTGGTTGTTTCGGAGCAGCTTCGGCTGAGAATAATAACTATTCGCCTCTTTTACTCAGCCGAAGCTGCTCCGAAACAACCAGAAACGAAGGCAGGCAGGCAGGCAGGCAGAACGGAGCACTGGATTGAACCTGGATTGATTGGCAGCGGGGTGGGGGTGAACGGGCGCTTCGGGGGAGCTGCGCCGACAGGAAAAGCCATCCTGCCGGCTTCTTTGAAGCAGTTTCTTCCTGGGCTGGTGGAGGAGCGAGAGAGCGACTGAGAGAGGAACGAGGCAGACACCTGAGGGATGAGGCTGAGGGAGGCAGGGCCGAGAGGCGGGGTTTCTCAGCCATCCTGCAGGGACTTGTCCTGAGCCGCGGAGACAGCCGTGGGCCGCCGCCGCCCAGCGCTCAGTTTTGAAGGCGCTCCTCAGCCAGGCGCAGTTCCTGAATCTGCAGCTGAAACCCTCCGTTTTAAATGTCCCAATAGAAGAGAATATCTGTCGCTCAGGGTTGCAATGAGGAGGCATTGGCGCTCCCTGAACTTGGTGGTTTGCTGGCAGACGTTTTATTACCCGACTAGGTAACAACATCAGATGTTACCTAGTCAGGTAATGAAATGTCTGCAAGCAAACCACCAAACTCGGACTCCTCCTCCCCCCCCCTCCCCCGGTCCTTGAAAAAGTGTTTCTGCGTGAAACTGGTCCCTGGTACAAAAAAGATTGGGGACCACTGGTATAAGCTACCCAGAGTCTAAATTGTATTAATTAAATGTGGCCTCTGCCAAAATGTACATTCATGACATTCTGCCTGAAGTAGTTCCTGGAAAGTAAGCTGTTAAATATAGGACTTGTGTGCCAATTTATTTTAATAAACTTGAAACCTTTTTGAATCACATTAAGTAAATCAGGAAGGGTTTGTTTTAGTATTTCCATAAAATTGGTTTCTCAATTTTTTTCTGCATAGGTTTAGCTCCCCCTGGGACTCAGGTAAGAAAAAACATTTTGTTTTCTTGGTAATTCAGTCATTTCTAGCCACTTATCTGCCTGTGGGCCTAGAACGTGCAACTTTCTGCTGGCTTCCATGGACTTTGGTTGTAATGGTTACTTGCTTAATAACCATGGGATTCTGTTAATATCAACTGGGGCTGCAGGGAATGCCTTCACTAAGCAGTGTGTCCACGCCTTATGGCCATATTGCTTAGCAATGGAAATTCCAGTGCTTAACTTTGTCAAAGTCTTAGAACACTCATACTTAAATATAAAGTTTGAATATGATAAGTAATGCAGGTAAAATACAATAACTTGGCTTCAGAACTCATAATTTATATCATATACATAATTATCACTTATGTAATTTTGAACTAGATATGATCTTTGTGTGCATTCATTTTATTCAAAAGCTTACATTAAATTGCATTTAATATATAGTAAACATTTTCCTTTGATGGGATTCATTCAAAAGTGCTTAATTATGACAGGATCATGCCCAGTGGTGGTACTGGTTCACACCACATCGGGCAAACCCCTAGCAAGAATTTGGCGTGGGTCGCCGAACTGGTAAGTTCTGGCTGGCCACGCCCCCCACCCAGTCGCCCTCCCGCCCGATGCCTGACATTCACCTAAGGTATTTTTTTTTTCCCCTCCCGACAATTAGCTGTAGATACAATCAGCTGTGCCGGGATTCCCCTTGCTGAAGCCCAGGAAGGCAAAAAATGCAGGGAGGAGCTCAGGACCCCCCCCCCCTCCATTTTTTGCCTTTCAGAGCCCCAGAGAAGCCTTAGGTGAGCAAAAATGCCCCCCCCCCCCGGCTCCTCTGAGACTAGGAAGCTCCCAAAACGGAGCTTGGAGGGATGCTGCATGCTGCTCCCATGCTCTGTTCCTTTTCTTCCAGAGCCTCAAGGAGCCTTAGGTGAGCAAAAACACATCCCCAGAGGCTCCTCTGAGGCTAGGAAGCTCCCAAAAACGGGTGGAGGCTGCAAAAAAAAAAAGCCATGCCCACCCAGTCACATGGCCACGCCCACCAAGCCATGTCCACAGAACTGGTGGTAAAAGTTTTTGAATCCCACCACTGATCATGCCTGATGTTTCAGCTAGTTCTGATATAGCCAAACCAGAACTACTAAATAATGATGATTTGGAGTATTAATGAACCACGGTTAAAAACTAGCTGTAATTTTTAACTAACCTACAGGGTGTTCAAAATCTACATGTTATCAAGTGTGTTAAAATGCAAATCCTGCTGTACACGTATGCAAATTGGACAGGGCTTGGATCCCAATGCCATGCCTGCTATTTTGTAGATTTTTGAGCCTTTAATATACCGTACTTAACTATTTGTACTTTGTTGTTTATTTGATAAATTTTTATGCCGCGTGTCTCCCAGAGACTCTTGTCATAAAAACAGAATGAAATGCTTCTTAACCTGTTGTAACTATTCTGGAACAAGAATGAGAAACAAGTTTCGTAAACTTGAGGCTTGGTCAGAATTGTGACTGAATTAGGCTACATTTCCTCAGTTTGCAAGTTCCCTAATAGTTAATATAGTAATGATTAGGAATTACTTCTCAGAGCATGTAAGAACATAATATATTTAGCTCCAGTCAGGGCGTTATGAATATATTGGAAAATGTTTTTGTAATGCAAATTTGCACAAAAACACAATTTTTAAGTTATAAAATGTTTTTGTTATTTATTGAATCCTTAAGAATTTTCAAGGGTATGAATGTACAGTAATCTTAAATTTATGACCAAAGTTGAGCCCGAAATTTTGGTTGCTAAGCAGTGCAATGAGTCATCATATGGCTGGACCCCATTTTATAACGAGTTTACTGTAGTCATTTAGTGAATCATGGTCGTTCAGTGAATCATGTGCTTAAACAAATCCAGCTTCCCCAATTAATTTTGTTTATCAGAAGCAAGCTGGGAAAACCATTAATCATGATTATGTGAATGCAGGATGTTGCAATCCTTGTAAATGATTGCCAGTTTCCAGGTACCCGAACTGTAATCAAAAGACTGCAGGGATGGTGTAGCAGTTGTGACTTTGAGGGCAGGTTGTAAGCTACTTATTCCATAACTTAGAACCATCATTAAACCAATGGTCATAAGTCGAGAACTCTATCTGTAACCAGTTTCATAAGCAATCTCTATAGGCTCCATTTTTCCTTACAGGGAAAGTATATAAAAGGGTTCCTACAATGAGCTTTGACTCCTTGTAATCATCTTAATATGTTGATGAATTTTCTTGGCTTTATTGTGGAAGCGATTTTTCATTATTGTCTTCTTGGATGTATTTTTCAACTTTTATTTCCTACATCTGATGACTCTGATAAGGTTTCTGACATCAGAATTGGTTTTGTGCTGCCCCCTGCTGTAGACGAATGTGGCTTATAGAAAGGCTTCAAAAAGGACAGCAAGTACTGTCTTGAAATCTCAAATTTCATGACCTCACATCTGAAAAGTATTTATCTTTAGTATAAATTTATTTTTCCATGTCTGCATTACTTTATTGAGTTTTTATTTTATTTTAGACATAGCTATTTGCATATAGCTATGCAATCACCTGTTATAAAATAATTAAGATCATATTCTATTCACTTCTCCATTGCTATCAGCACATTTGAGTCTTAGGCTTGATTATTGCAATCAGTGATTTCATTTCTATATAATGCAGATTTACTTTTAAAAAGCACATTAAACTATAGTTAATGAAGCTATTTTAGTAAGCATTATTACATTTAATGGAAGCAGGGGTTTCCTATTCATCATTGTTGTAACCTAAGTAGTTTTCATTTCTGAATAACTGCCATTTTGTAGATTGGGTTATATTTCATTGTGCATAGACATAGCTTCAAACTTACCATCTCTTCTATAGATTCGAATCAGAAACAAGATACATCATAAAAATATGATTAGCAGCAGAAATGACAATAGCATCTTACGATCTTGAAATGAAATATTTCTTCATTTATATTAAACAGGTCAGAGAATGTTCAGTAAGGTTTTGTTCCAATTGCTTTGCTTTTTGAAATCCAACTGAGAAGTTGGACCATTAACACATACAATTTGGTCTTATCTGGTTGGCACAAACTGCCACCATCAATTTATTAATATGACTGAGTAAATAACTATGTAATAAACAAGCATGCATCCCTCTTGATTACATCCATAGCTTTTAGAATCTATCAAGAAACCAGATTATGAACTTTTCAGCCATGGGACTTTTAAAAGCATTGTAAGAAATATTGTGTTTCTCTGAAAATATGACCTGCCCTGAAAGTAAGCCCTAGCTTGATTTTTACACGTGCGCCCAATATAGGCCCTCCCTTCCCCCAAATAAGCCCTAGTTAGGACCCTGTCTACTCTTGCACCTGGTTGCAGGGGGTGCGGCAAAACGTACGGGCATAAATCAAGCAAGGGTGGAGATGGGGAGTTGAACTGCTTATCTTCAGACAGTTGCAGCCAGGCCTTGCACACACCCCAACACCTGCCTTGCTGGCCCACTTTTTCGGCCGCTTGCCACCACTTGGATGCATTGCCCCCGGCCTCGTTTCACTGTCAGGTCTTCAGGAAAGGCCTCTGCAGCCGATAACAAAGCTCCAGATCAATCCTGAAGGCCTTTGACAGCAAAATAGAGGCTGGGGCGATACATAAATCAATCCGGACCTCAGCTACAGAGGCCTTTCCTGAAGGCCTCTGACAGCGAAATGGAGGCTGGGGGTAATGTGCACAACTGGCAACAAGCAGCCACAGAAGGAGTGGGCTGGCAGCGGGGTCCTGCTGGGCAGAGCTGTTGATGCCGCTGCTGCTAAGTGAGTCAGTGGAAAACATTCTCCAAAAATAAGACCTGGTGCCTTTTTTGGTGGCAAAAAAAAAATACAGGACTGGGTCTTACTTTTGGGGAAATACGGTACATTGGTTTATAGTGACATTTTTTTTGTTATTATCTGATGAAGGCTTAAAAAGTAATGTGATCAAAACCTTTGCTTTCTAAAATACAGAAATAAAATTAAGGAACAAGAGTATCCCTTTTATCTCTTGAATAAAAACATAACTGTATTTCACTGGATTAAATTTTATATCATATTTTTTTATTTAGCCTACGCCTCCAGTTTGTACAGTGCAACAAGCCACTCCAACCAATAACTCTACTAACGAAGAGCCCTCAAAACAGGTATCATGTTTTTCTCTTAACAGTTTTGTCATGCTCCATCTTAAAATCCCAAGAAAGAAATTTTCTATAGAATGTTCTATTTTCCATAGAAATCTACGTGGTCAGAGCATAAGTCGCCAGATGGAAGAACATACTATTACAATACTGAGACCAAGCAGTCTACCTGGGAGAAGCCAGATGATCTTAAAACCCCTGCAGAGGTAAAAGAATTGAGAATATTTAACTACCCATGTCTCATTGAATTAAAAAGAAATATTTACTATTAAGAAAAATGTTCCTTTCGATGTGCAGTTCTAATATCCTAGCCTTCATATTAATGCTGCAGTAGGCAGAGGATGCCAAAAGAGTTTTATTTCATAACTGGAATTGTGTGTAACTTGTATCTTTGCATTTTGCATCTTCATCCAAAGATTCTAAAAGCATTTTATTACATTCCTTTCTGTATTATAGAATGGTTTAAGATATTGTGTTGTTTCCCCTTTCTTAGCAATTGTTGTCAAAATGCCCATGGAAAGAATACAAATCTGATTCTGGAAAGCCTTATTACTACAACTCTCAAACAAAGGAATCACGTTGGGCAAAACCCAAAGAACTGGAAGATCTTGAAGGTAATTATCATGATGTTTTATCTTCAACATAAGCTACTATATAGATAGCAGCGACAATTCCAGTTAGTAAAGGTAGGAAATTCAGACCATATAATGAAATAATCTAAGATATTTTAAAGGTTTTAGTTAGAGGAATAATTGGAGAAATTATTGTTGACAAGAGATAAAAGGATACAGTCAGCAATTCTCAGACAGCAATTCTAAAGGATTTTAGGCAGTGATCTGTTTTTAGGATTTGGGATTGGAATTAGTAGGAAGTTCCAAAATTGTACAGAAATTATTACGGGTTTATACTCTCTAGCTCATACATTAGTGTTAAGATGAAAAGATCCAAGATGTGCATTCTTTAAATATAATGTTCATTAAGAAGTTGGATTATAAGTAAAAACTAATACAAACTAAACTTAGAAAAAGAGAAAAGAATAGAAAAAGAATGAAAATGCAAAAAAAAAAGAAAAGAATAAAATGAAGAAAAAGAAAAGAAATATATAAAGAAGTGACTTCCAATATTCATCACAGGTGTTAACAAAGGTGTTAACAAATTTGCTAATTCTTTACCCCTATATGGTTACAAATGTCTATTCATCTGATCCCTTATCTGTGACCAAATTCATAAAACATCAGTCCTGGTCTCAGCAAATAAAGCAATTAAAAGGTTGCAAGAATTTTGCAAAACAATGTTTTATTTTAACCTTAATCAAATAAACCATTTTACATTCCTTTCTTTTATGTCTAATAGTCTTAATCTTTAATCCAATCAAATGTTATAGGACTTTTATTTCTCTTTAATTCTTCTTTATCCCATTACACAGATTTCTGTATGATGAGATAAAGTCTGTTTTGGTACTTTCTGTGCTATGTCAGATTACATTTGTTCCACACCTGTCATTCTTTCGTTAACACCTCATTATTAAAACTGTTGATGTTGTCTAATTTTTTAATGTTTGTGATGTTATAACATTTGTGTCATTTTGTAAGTCCCACTATTAACTGACATCTAGAACAAGCTTGTATTTTTTCCCTTCTACTTAGAATATTTGGTCCCTTTTAGTGTCTAGCATCTTAAAATCATAAAGTAACTTAATCTTTGATATGATTTACAATAGCCAGGAGAGCCAAAATAAGTCTGTTTCTGATGAGAAGTTATTTTATAGTTAATTCCAAAATCTTATGGTGAAAATCAATATTTCAAATTCGTTAAATTCCTTAAGTTTTGTATAACTTTATATATCAACATTTTACTTAGCTTTTTGCTGTCTATTTTAAATTCTTTTAAGTTCTTAAACTTTTAATTATATTTTCTTTTATTCAGAACTAAAGATAAATCTACCCAAGGAGTTTTCAAATGTTGTTCCAAAGGTCTCTAATAGCTTTAATTAATAGGTAATTTTCAAAAGTGATTAGACAGCAGGGCTTGCAAATTTAGGGTCATTATAATGCTCAACTATGGTTGTGAACAAAATGGTTAATCCTTTTGTTCCCTAGCATTCAGACCTGTGGAAAATCACTGTCCTGTGGTCTCCTTGCGATCTCTTGTCCTCTTTATCTGGAGAGATTCCAGAATACTAGTTTACTCACTGGTTCTTTGGTCTTTGCCATGATCATTGGCTTTGTTTTTGTGAAAACGTCTTCAATTCTCCATTCCCCTGAAAGTCTGACATCTGTACATTTTTGAAATATCTTTTGTGTTCTGTGGTCTGAAAAAGTTATTAATTCATTCATGAAACGCTATTGACATATAGGCTATATCATTTTCACTTAAAAATCAAAAAAGTGATTTTTTCACAAAATCACTTCTCATGTGATTTTTCACATGCAAAATGTTTTAGGGTCTATCTCTAAAATGATATACAGTATCTTAAATATATAAATATTTTTTATTTTTTTTACAGCAATGATTAAAGCAGAAGAAAACAGGTATGCTTACAAACGCTTTTCTTAAAGATGTTGTATTTAAACTAAAATGCAGACAAAACTGATGAACAGATTAATTCATTTTAAAAACCTTTTTGGAAGCAGAAAAAGTAGAGATTAAAGACAATATCTCAGAAAGTACTTAGGTAATTATATATTTAGCATCAAGGTTGAGACCAGCATTTCGAATTACATTCAGAAAACAATTGACAAACTTAACAGAGTTTGAAACAATGCTAGTACTATATCATTCCTGGTTTGCAGTCCAGCAGCTGAATTTTACACAGTTTTAGCTTCTCAACATGCTGATATTAAATGTTCAATAACTGTTGATATAAACAACAGAATATGCAGAATATGATTCTCATTAATGTCTTGAATAGATTTTGAAGTGTTAAGTATATTAATTGGCAACTCTATTAATAACTAATAGCCATGTTTACTAAATTAAAAGTGCAGGGTTGATATTCTATTTATAACTGCAGATACATGGACTTATATGTAATAGAACTGCTGCTAAGAAGAATTCTATATCAGCCTGTATTTCATTAGACTTTTAGTAGAAATTTTAAGGCATTAATGCTGTCAAACACTATGCCTTGCCTATTCTGAAGGAGATACAAAAAGTTAGAGGCTGATGCTATATCCCTATCTTGTAAATCAGTTACAAGTTGGACTTTTCGTGGGGAAAGTTATTTACCGATGTGCAGTGGAAAATACGATTTTTGTGAAATTGGCAGGATTTTTAGAACCAAACATGATTTCTATTTCTATAGCAAATCAGAAGAATCTGTTCCAGTTTCATCTGCTGCGGTTGCACCAGGGATTCCAGCTGCTGTTGCCAGTGTTCCTGAAACACCAATACCTGTACCCTCAGCCCCTGTTGCTCCTGCCGTGGCCTCAGCTCCAGAAGCAGAGCCTTCTGCTGTGACTCCAGTTATAGAAAATGATGCTGGGGTAGCTCCTTCAGCAGACGAACTGGTGCAGCCAGCGGCTCCTTCTGTTGTACAAGAACAGAGCATGGAGGTTATCACAAACTCTGTGGAAGAAATGCCAAAGCAAGAATCCTCGGAGTAAGTAATAGTTCTTAATACTCACCTGCTATTATATTGCAAGAGAATATTTCATAGTTTGGGATAAAAAATAACAGGTTTCGTTTCTTTAAAAAAATGGAAGGAGAAAAGACAAGTACTGGGGTTTTTATTTTTATTTATTTGATTTATTTGATTTGCCAATTGTTTACAAGATAATAAGTATAAGTGTATACATAGTTGTGAATACATGAAATGGGTACATATAAGAAAAATAAAAGAAGAATAAGAGAAACAATAGGACAGGGACAGTAGGCACGTTGGTGCGCTTATGCACGCCCCCTTTTTTTCTTTTTTGTTTTCCTTTTAGTTAATAACTTCTAGTACCTTTGGGGCCTTGTCATCTTAAATTGTGCAGTAGGAAAAGACAACCACAATGGTTAAATAGGTTATCTTCTAATTTCTTTTCCATTTCCTGTAACAAAGATAAGAAAGGAAAAGTTTCCAGAATAGCTTTCACTTATTTTTCCTGCTAGAGAACCTTCTTGTGAAACCTGGAATCTTTTTCCTGTAGGCTTGTTTTTCCAACTCTGGGTGTTATACATGGTATTTCTTTATATTGCAATTTCTGTCCCGAACTTCATCTCATTTCTGATAGACTGCATATCCTGTGCGGAGAGCACTTGCTAGGCACATTCCATTTTGCAGTAGCCTGAAGAATTGGTTACACGTAATTTATACTAAATTAAATGATTAAATCTTTTGAATAGTGATTGTTTTTATGGCAAGAATATGTAATTTGGGTTGTCTCAGGGGCCTCTTTAAGCTTTGCATAGCATTGAGAACTGCACTGCAAAAGTGGGAGGAGCCTAAACTCAAAGGGGGCTGATTTTGGAGGATAGGTTTAAGGGACACTAACTTTCTTAAGAGTGCTCATTTTAAGGCAAGGGTGTCAAACTTGATTTCATTGAGGGCCGCATCAGGGTTATGTTTGATCGCGGGGGGTGGGGTGGCCATGGTGGGGGTGGCCAGCTCAACTTCACTTGTCATGGACTGGGGCGGCACGAATGCTTTGCCAGTGAAAACGGAGCTCAAGAGGGCCACCCACAGCCCTCCCGAGCTCAGTTTTCGCTGGCAGAGGCACCGCGGGCCGGTCCTTCGCTGTCTCCAGGGTGGTCCCACGGGCCAGATCTAAGCACCCCACAGGCTGGATTTGGCCTGCAGGCCTTGAGTTTGACACCCCTGTATTAAGGGACATCTAGTTTATCAGTTGTCTAAGTAAATGATGCATGTCAAATGTATTAATGTATTTGGAACTAACCCAAGATGGTTAGCTTATCTCGTTATTTTTTAAAAGGCATCAGCCTAATATTTATGATTACTGCCTCAATAGGTATTCTATTTAATTAATGCTATTTGTTAAAGTAACCAACTTTTTTTTAATTGATAGTGTTGTACCCAAAAAGGAAGAAGAGGAAGCCCAACCAGTGAAAAAAACTTATACTTGGAATACAAAAGAAGAAGCCAAGCAAGCATTTAAAGAACTATTGAAAGAAAAGGTTTTTATACTGAATCAACTATTTTTTGAATGTCAAGAATTACAAATATAATTGATTAGGAGAGTTGCTGATTTTTGTAAGAGCTTGAGTAACATTCATGCAAAAGTAAATACTAAATACTTTATTTAAACAGGTGGATTTTTATAAAAATCCATGGGAGAAAGATTTTTTAATATGGAAGTTTCATTTTTGCTTATATGTTTTGAAAGTTTTAGGCAGATTAGTTGAGGTAAGAAAGAGGATTAGGTGTGTTTAAAATTTTGAATATTCTACTTAATCATTATGATTTCATTCTTGGTGATTGCTGAAACATAACTGCTGAATCAAAAAGATGTTTTCTGAGTGATAGTTTTAATACCTTTAAAAAAACAGGAATTGGGAAATAAGTATTCTTGGACTTGCTTTTTCTATAAATGTGAAGAATGCTATGACATCATGGTTATATAAGTGTGCTATACATGATATTTGTCATCACTGTTATAGAACTTTTTGAGGGAAAATATATTAATTATATTGGGTAAAAAATATTATCCTGATTGTAAAACAACAAGCCAGATAACTTAATTTCCTTTAGATAACAGAAAATTACATAAGATGGAGCAGTTCTTTTTTAGCTCCTCACTTGTGAAAACAAAATGTCAGTTCCAGAGCTTGTGTGATTTATCTTCTGTCTTCACAGCGTGTGCCATCCAATGCCTCTTGGGAACAAGCTATGAAAATGATCATTAATGATCCAAGATACAGGTATCACTATATTATTTTAAACGATTCTTTGCAAAAATGACTATTTTTTAATAAGCTGGATATAAAAGGGCTAATTTTAGTTGATGTTTCCTCAATTTGCAGTGCTTTGGCAAAATTAAGTGAGAAGAAACAAGCCTTTAATGCTTACAAAGTCCAGACAGAGAAAGAAGAAAAAGAAGAAGCAAGATTAAAATACAAAGAAGCAAAAGAATCTTTTCAGCGTTTCCTTGAAAATCATGAAAAAATGACATCAACAACCAGATACAAGTAAGATTAGCTAATATACAGCCCAATGCTAAAATCTTAGTATCATGACTGAGATCTTTCCTTAGGAACTCTATGTCTGCACACAAATTGCAATAACTACGTAAGATAGGCTGGTGGGAATGACAGTACTGGTAGTCCTGGGGTTACTATGGCAATTGGGACAAAAATATGTGTTACCAAATGATGCAGTCATAAAGCAGGTCATTGCATGTCTCCATTGCTTAACAGCTGAAATTTTGGTACTTCTGGTTTCTCTGTAGGAATGCAGGATTCATTAAATGAAAACCTCTGTGTATATGGGAGGCAGGAGCCACAAGCAAGCAGACTTTGGTGGGGGGAGGCAGATGAGGGCTACAAGCTTGTGGGGGGGGGGAGATGAGTGTCAGGGAGCATGAGGCTTGCTGTTGCATAAAGCTAGAGATGGTAGATCTTACCAATGACAGCCTTCAGCAGTCTGCCCATTGCTGATGTCCCCAGGCCTCAATTTCAGGCCAAGCAGTGAG